TAGTGTGCTACCTACAGAGCTGTACAATGCATTACACAGTGCAATAGTGCTACTGCTGCATATTAGTGCGTTTCAGTGTACCCCTCCCCTGTATTCATGTGCTCTTCCAATACTGTAAATTGCATTTCATTGTGTATCCCCATTTTTTCACAATGAATAGATCTTATAGATCAGTGCACTTCAAACTGTAGCCCGAGTGCAGGATGTGTCCCTTTGCTTGCTTTTATCCAGCCCTTGGGGCATTTTTCTCTTCATTGTCAGAAACAATGGGGCATAGTTCCTGCCCCTGACACTGACAATGGGGCACTATTCCTCCCTCTGACAACAATGGGGCACTATTCCTCCTCTAATACCAAAGATGGGCAATTGTTTATTTCCACACGAGAACATTTTACTACTCCTACTAGCAACAATCCGACCCCCCTAAAATCTGAAGGATAGTAACCTTATACTTTGTTTAGAAAGTTTGGAGACTCCTTCCATAGATCCAACAGTCCTTGGTCAGGCTATTTATTTTTCTTAGTGGGTCTGCAACAACTTCTGTTGCTGTAAAACTGCTATTTCCCCTTTTCGTATTGTTTCAGGTGTTTTATTGATTTTTAAAACTTTCTACCAAAAATAAATTAATAAAAAGAGTTATATTTAAAGTATTTTGATAGGGTGATTTAATTTTAAGTTTGGGGTCAGGAGGGTGAACTTTTTGGTGACACAGACAAAGCTGCTCTTTGTTAGCAGCACGATACCCCATTACTATAGCAGTTGTTTACACCTACGGCAACAGGGTATTGCAGACATGGTACTTGGGTGCAATGCAAAATTGGCACCAAATCACATATTTGCAATTAACCTGTTGCTATAGGAGTAAATAAAGTTTTGCAATCCCCTGTTGTCATTATGTCTGGAAAGCCTAAAGGGAGAGGCAGCGGTTGATCACATACAGCTAGAAGGGAGGGAGCAACCACAGACTAAAGTGATAGTTGGGCCACACCATTGAGAGGTAAGGCACATCTGCTCTTCTATTCAGTAGATAACTGAAGATAACCAAACCTTCTCCCAAGTACACAGTAGTACAGAGTCATCAGCAGCTGGAAATGCACCCTCTTCATCCTCATCTTGTCCAGCTGGTTACGCCATTGTCCAGCAAACTGGCATTGACGGGTCAGCTGAAATATTTGAGCAGCACATCAGTAACCTTCTGAAGAGAAAATATGCAGGAATTAATTTTATCAATTGTTGAGGAGGAAGAGAGCACCAGTTACATAGAGGGAGAGAAGAGAAAGAGCCAATTGCCAGTGATGCTGCCACATGTCGAGGTGCAAGACCATACCTGGGTGCCCAAGATTGAAGTAGATGAAAATGAAGGAGAGACACAGCATCAGCAAAGCAGATTGTCATCTAGGGGCAAACTTGCAGAGGAGTGCAAGGAGCAGCCACCTGATTTGACAGAATGGCACTGCTTCATAAATGCTCCACAGCAGTTTGGGCTCTTTTCAAAAAACAACATAGTGGTTTGCAGCCTCTGCCTGCAGCATAATAAGTGTGGTGAATCTACTAGTCATTTGGGTACCACATACACGAGCAGATTAATAACTATTCACTCATTTTCAGTCATTCTGCCACCACCATGCTTAATGATGAGGATGGAGCATTTATGATGTTTAGAGATGAGCGAATCGAAGTAGCCGAAGTGGAATTCGAGTCGAATATCGGAAAAATTTCGATTCGCGCCGAATCCGAAAAATTCGGATAGCCTAATTCGGACGCGCGAATCGAAATTTTTCCGAAAATGGCGGCTGACATGTGCGGCGACGGAGCGGGAATGTCTGGGAAGGCGCGCAGACAAGGCGCGCTGACCCATAATGCATTCCTCAACGACATGTGATCGCATCAGCCAATCAGCAGCCAGCCAGCTAGCACTGTGTAATGGTCGAGCTATAAATAGCGGCCATTTTGGAATTCTTCATTTGCCTGCAGTCATTGAACAGAGGCAGACCGCTCTGTATTAGGGACAGGGACAGAGTTAGGGCCACAGAAACGATACTGGGGACAGAGAAACAATACTTAGGGACAGAGAACTATTACTCAGGGACACAGAATTGTTAATTAGGGCCACAGAATCGTTACTTAGGGACAAAGAAACGCTAGTTAGGGCCACAGAATTCATACTCAGGGACAGACAGAATTGTTACTGAGTGCCAGAGAATTGTTACTTAGGGCCACAGAAACGTTATTAGGGCCACAGAATTGTTACTCAGGGACAGACAGAATTGTTACTGAGTGCCAGAGAATTGTTACTTAGGGCCACAGAAACGTTATTAGGGCCACAGAATTGTTACTCAGGGACAGACAGAATTGTTACTGAGTGCCAGAGAATTGTTACTTAGGGCCACAGAAACGTTATTAGGGCCACAGAATTGTTACTCAGGGACAGACAGAATTGTTACTGAGTGCCAGAGAATTGTTACTTAGGGCCACAGAAACTTTAGTTAGGGCCACAGAATTGTTACTCAGGGACAGACACAGAATTGTTACTGAGGGCCACAGAACTGTTACTTAGGGCCACAGAATTGTTACTCGCACAGACACAGAATTGTTACTCGCACAGACACAGAATTGTTACTCAGGGCCACAGAACTGTTACTTAGGGCCACAGAATTGTTACTCGCACAGACACAGAATTGTTACTCAGGGACACAGAACTGTTACTTAGGGCCACAGAATTGTTACTCGCACAGACACAGAATTTCTTACTCGCACAGACACAGAATTGTTACAGAGGGCCACAGAACTGTTACTTAGGGCCACAGAATTGTTACTCGCACAGACACAGAATTGTTACACAGGGACACAGAAGAACTGTTACTTAGGGCCACAGAATTGTTACTCGCACAGACACAGAATTGTTACTCAGGGACACAGAATTGTTACTGAGGGCCACAGAACTGTTACTTAGGGCCACAGAATTGTTACTCGCACAGACACAGAATTGTTACTCAGGGACACAGAATTGTTACTGAGGGCCACAGAACTGTTACTTAGGGCCACAGAATTGTTACTCGCACAGACACAGAATTGTTACACAGGGACACAGAACTGTTACTTAGGGCCACAGAATTGTTACTCGCACAGACACAGAATTGTTACTCAGGGACACAGAATTGTTACTGAGGGCCACAGAACTGTTACTTAGGGCCACAGAATTGTTACTCGCACAGACACAGAATTGTTACTCGCACAGACACAGAATTGTTACTGAGGGCCACAGAACTGTTACTTAGGGCCACAGAATTGTTACTCGCACAGACACAGAATTGTTACTCAGGGACACAGAATTGTTACTGAGGGCCACAGAACCGTTACTTAGGGCCACATAAACGTTAATCAGGGACACATAATTGTTACTGAGGGCCACAGAACGTTACTTGGGGCCACAGAAAGAAACAGAATTGTTAATCAGGGACACAGAATTGTTACTGAGGGCCACAGAACTGTTACTTAGGGCCACAGAATTGTTACTCACACAGACACAGAATTGTTACTCAGGGACACAGAACTGTTACTGAGGGACACAGAACTGTTACTTTAGGGCCACAGAATTGTTACTCGCACAGACACGAATTGTTACTCAGGGACACAGAATTGTTACTGAGGGCCACAGAAATGTTACAGGGCCACAGATTGTTACTCGCACAGGACACAGAATTGTTACTCGCACAGACACAGAATTGTTACTGAGGGCCACAGAACTGTTACTTAGGGCCACAGAATTGTTACTCGCACAGACACAGAATTGTTACTCGCACAGACACAGAATTGTTACTGAGGGCCACAGAAAACTGTTATTAGGGCCACAGAATTGTTTACTCGCACAGACACAGATTTGTTACTGAGGGACACAGAATTTTTACTGAGGGCCACAGAATTGTTACTGAGGGACACAGAATTGTTACTCAGGGACAGACACAGAATTGTTACTCAGGGACAGACAGAATTGTTACTGAGGGCCAGAAGAACTGTTACTGAGGGCCACAGAATTGTTACTCGCACAGACACAGAATTGTTACACAGGGACACAGAATTGTTACTGAGGGCCACAGAACCGTTACTTAGGGCCACAGAATTGTTACTCAGCACAGACACAGAATTGTTACTCGCACAGACACAGAATTGTTACTGAGGGCCACAGAATTGTTACTCGCACAGCCACAGAATTGTTACTCAGGGACACAGAATTGTTACTGAGGGCACAGAATTGTTACTCAGGGAAGAACAGAATTGTTACTCCTGGGACAGAGAATTGTTACTGAGGGCCACAGAACTGTTACTTAGGGCCACAGAAACGTTACTCCCACAGAATTGTTACTCAGGGACACAGAATCGATCCTAATTAAAGAGTATGTCTTCAGGGCCACTAACATGCAGAGGGAGTGGCAGAGGAGGCAATGTTTTAGGAGCGAGCAGACGTGGCAGCTTGTTGATGAGGGAACTACGAGGTTACTATTCGCAGCCAGAATAGTGTCCTCTGGTGTTGTCATCCAGTACACAGGAAGAGGGTAACAGCCACTTGGGCGGTCAGGAATTGTTGGGGGGACATCCGCCTCTTCAGCAGCCAGGCGAAGAAGTGTGGCGAGGAGAGTGGCTCGGTAGCCGGTGTAGGAGACAGGTCTGTCTCCTGACCCACACGCAGCCGACCGGGGCTAGTAGTGAGGCGGAGACCCTAATTGATGATGAGAGGCCTGATCGCACTGGCAGCCTCGTCGTCATCGCTCCTCATTGCTTCCGCATCAGAGAAGTCAGGGTGGCACTTGGCAGCGAGCAAGAAAACAGTCGGTGGGTTGTCTCCATCGCCACACTCTGCCATGTGCCACTTTCAGGTCTCCTCACACACTGCTGGTGTGTTGAATTTTTTGACATAGGGTGCTGGCAGATTACGGGCCTCCCATAGCTGCTGCCAGGCCCCTAATCTGCAATCTGCCATGGGCCCAGAACTATTTACGCCCTCATGCTGCTGCCAGGTCCAGAGTCTGTCATGGGTCCCTGTACGGCCTCCCATTGCTGCTGTCTCCATCGCCACACTCTGCCATGTGCCACTTTCAGGTCTCCTCACACACTGCTGGTGTGTTGAATTTTTTGACATAGGGTGCTGGCAGTTTACGGGCCTCCCATAGATGCTGCCAGGCCCCTAATCTGCCATGGGCCCCTATATACCGCCTCCTCATGCTGCTGCCGGTCCAGAGTCTGTCATGGGTCCTGTACGGCCTCCATTGCTGCTGTCTCCATCGCCACACTCTGCCATGTGCCACTTTCAGGTCTCCTCACACACTGCTGGTGTGTTGAATTTTTTGACATAGGGTGCTGGCAGATTTACGGGCCTCCCATAGAGCTGCTGCAGGCCCCTAATCTGCCATGGGCCCCTATATACCGCCTCCTCATGCTGCTGCCATCCAGATCTACTCATGCCCTGTAAGGCCTCCAGAGTCTGCCATCATGGGTCCCTGTACGGCTGGCAGATTACGGGCCCATTGCTGCTGGGACACCCTTTGGTTATGGGTCTCCATCGCCACACTCTGCCATGTGCCCATCTTTCAGGTCTCCTCACACACTGCTGGTGTGTTGAATTTTTTGACATAGGGTGCTGGCAGATTACGGGCCTCCCATAGCTGCTGCCAGGCCCCTAATCTGCCATGGGCCCCTATATACCGCCTCCTCATGCTGCTGCCAGGTCCAGAGTCTCTCATGGGTCCCTGTACGGCCTCCCATTGCTGCTGTCTCCATCGCCACACTCTGCCATGTGCCACTTTCAGGTCTCCTCACACTCTGCTGGTGTGTAGAATTTTTTGACATAGGGTGCTGGCAGATTACGGGCCTCCCATAGCTGCTGCCAGGCCCCTAATCTGCCATGGGCCCCTATATACCGCCTCCTCATGCTGCTGCCAGGTCCAGAGTCTCTCATGGGTCCCTGTACGGCCTCCCATTGCTGCTGTCTCCATCGCCACACTCTGCCATGTGCCACTTTCAGGTCTCCTCACACTGCTGGTGTGTTGAATTTTTTGACATAGGGTGCTGGCAGATTACGGGCCTCCTATAGCTGCTGCCAGGCCCCTAATCTGCCATGGGCCCCTATATACCGCCTCCTCATGCTGCTGCCAGGTCCAGAGTCTCTCATGGGTCCCTGTACGGCCTCCCATTGCTGCTGTCTCCATCGCCACACTCTGCCATGTGCCACTTTCAGGTCTCCTCACACTGCTGGTGTGTTCAATTTTTTGACATAGGGTGCTGGCAGATTACGGGCCTCCCATAGCTGCTGCCAGGCCCCTAATCTGCCATGGGCCCCTATACCGCCTCCTCATGCTGCTGCCAGGTCCACAGTCTCTCATGGGTCATGTACGGCCTGTGCTGTCTCCATCGCCACACTCTGCCAGGTGCCACTCCTCCTCACACTGCTGGTGTGTTCAATTTTTTGACATAGGGTGCTGGCAGATTACGGGCCTCCCATAGCTGCTGCCAGGCCCCTAATCTGCCATGGGCCCCTATACCGCCTCCTCATGCTGCTGCCAAGTCCAGAGTGTGTCATGGGTCCCTGTACGGCCTCCCATTGCTGCTGTCTCCATAGCCACACTCTGCCATGTGCCACTTTCAGGTCTCCTCACACTGCTGGTGTGTTGAATTTTTTGACATAGGGTGCTGGCAGATTACGGGCCTCCCATTGCTGCTGCCAGGCAGTAATCTGCCATGGGCCCCCGTACCGACTCCTCATGCTGTGACGTTTGCAACAAGGTGGAATTCAACCCTACATATGTTAGACCGCCTTTACGAACAGCGAAAGGCCATCACAGATTTCCTGATGTTAAAAGCGATAAAGGTACTCCCTGTGTAACTTAGATGTCAGCCATTGGCAGCTCATGCGTGACACCTGCGCTTGCTCAGGCCCTTTGAGGAGGCCACGCTATTCGTGAGTCGGCAGGACTATGGGATGAACGACGTCATTCCTCTGTTGCACGTCCTGGAACAAATGCTGTTAACAATGGCTGGTCAGGGTGCGGTAGACGTGGCGCACAGATCTCAACGCCACATGACCCCTGTGGGGGCAGGACAGGAAGAAGAGGAGGAGGTAGAGGAGGACATTGGTGCTCAGGAATTATTGAGTGAAATGGGTGGTTTTTCCACTCAGCGGACAGGAGTGGAGGAGCAGGAGCATCTGGTAGAGGAGGAGGAGGAGGAGACAGAGGACCCAGACGCACCGTGGCAGTATGCTGTGGAGATGGAGGCAGGGAGTCCCTCGCATTCCTTGGCACAAATGGCCCATAGCATGCTCGGTTGCTTGCGTAGCGACAGCCGAATAATAACCATCAGACAGAGGGATGACTTTTGGCTGTCCACCTTGTTGGACCCTCGCTACCGTTCAAAAATGGTGGCCTTTTTCACACCTGCTGAGAGGGAGGCCAAAATAACGTACTATAAAAACCACCTATGTAGTCAGCTGGTCTCTGCCTGTCTGCGCCAACGTCCATCCTCAGACACTGTGGGCCCTGTGCGCTCGCGTTCCGCTGCCATGGCAGCAGGGGAGGGGTGGGGTGGTAGGAGCAGTGGCAGCTCCACCAGCAGCGGCTGCCTCAGTCTGCAGTCGATGATGAGTAGCTTTCTTCACCAGCGCAGTGAGGAAACTACTAACCAGCCGCAGCAGCAGCAGCAGCAGCAGCAGCATCAGGTGGACCTGGAGCAGGACCTCAAACAACAGGCTTAGGCCTACTTGGACAGCACCCTGCCAACCGAGGTAGACAATCCCCTTGACTACTGGGCAACGAAACTTGACCTTTGGCCCCAACTAGCTGAATTTGCCCTTGAAAGGCTGTCATGCCCGGCCAGTAGCGTGGCATCGGAGCAGCGCGTGTTTAGTGCGGCAGGAGGTATTGCAACTCCGCGGAGGACACACGACTGTCCACCCAAAGTGTGGAGAGACTGACGTTTGTGAAAATGAATCAGGCGTGGATTAGTCTGGATTTCAAACCACCAGTTCCTGACACAACTGACTAAATCCGCCATGAATCATGCCCCAAACATGTGCCACTTTCAGGTCTCCTCACACTGCTGGTGTGTTACATTTTTTGTCATAGGGTGCTGGCAGATTACGGGCCTCCTATAGCTGCTGCCAGGCCCCTAATCTGCCATGGGCCCCTATACCGCCTCCTCATGCTGCTGCCAAGTCCAGAGTCTCTCATGGGTCCCTGTACGGCCTCCCATTGCTGCTGTCTCCATCGCCACACTCTGCCATGTGCCACTTTCAGGTCTCCTCACACTGCTGGTGGGTTCCATTTTTTGTCATAGGGTGCTGGCAGATTACGGGCCTCCCATAGCTGCTGCCAGGCCCTAATCTGCCATGGGCCCCCGTACCGACTCCTCATGCTGCTGCCAGGCGCGTAATCTGTCATGGGCCCCATTGTCGCTTGTTGGCATATTCCGCTCGTTTCAGATGCTCCTTCTCCTGTACTCCTCTTCACGGATTCCGTCAGCAGTGCTTTCTTGGAATCCGTTTCCGTTTCCAAGAGACAACAGTTTGCGAGCACGCACCAGACGGTGCAGAAGCTGAACGTCCTCCTGTCCAAGTTGCTGCTGCCAGGCTCGTAATCTGTCATGCGCCCCTGTACCGCCTCCTCATGCTGCTGCCAGGTCCAGAGTGTGTCATGGGCCCCTGGGCAGTACCGACTCCTCATGCTGCTGCCAGGCCCGTAATCTGTCATGGGCCCCTGTACCGCCTCCCCATGCTGCTGCCAGGTCCAGAGTGTGTCATGGGTCCCTGTACGGCCTCCCATTGCTGCTGCCAGGCCCGTAATCTGCCATGGGCCCCCGTACCGACTCCTCATGCTGCTGCCAGGCCCGTAATCTGCCATGGGCCCCTGTACCGCCTCCTCATGCTGCTGCCAGGTCCAGAGTGTGTCATGGGTCCCTGTACGGCCTCCCATTGCTTGCTGTCTCTATCGCCACACTCTGCCATGTGCCACTTTCAGGTCTCCTCACACTGCTGGTGGTTTCCATTTTTGTCATAGGGTGCTGTATGGCCTCCCATTGCTGCTGCCTCCACCGCCACACTGTGGCTCCACACTCTGGTTTTGGCCCCGTGACTGCCCAAATGAGTGAAGTGTGCGGTGATTCTAAAGATCGACGGCACTCATCTGCATGTCATACTGACTGACAGTATTATTTCTCTTCCCCAGCAGACTCCAAGGGCATTTAAATTAAAGGTACAGTGTTCAGCACTAATATTAAGTCTCTCTGAAGCCTAGAAACACCCTTTTTTAAGTTAAATTCACAGCGAATATATTCGACTCGAATCAAAATTTTTCCACGAATTCGCCGAATCAGTCGAATCGAATTTTTGAATACTATCGCGTCATCTCTAATGATGTTATACAAACTTTGGCTTATATGAAACAAAATGTTATGGGCAAAAAAGTTCAACCACCTTGCTGTAGACATCAGAGTCCCCCAAGTGCCTTCTGGAAAACTGTAAGCAAGAAGTAATGTGAGTTTTAGTTAACAGTGGCTTTCTTTTTCTACTCTCCCATAAATCTGAATATGGTGTGTCTCCATTCTTAGCAATTGAGACCTGTAACTTCTTAAGAGTGGCCATAAATCTCTGGGTGGCATTTTGCACTAGTCACTTTTGGTGGCTGGCCTATACAGATTATTTATAAACTGTGGCATGCATGTTCTGTTTGTTGATTAAGCATTTAATTGTTCTCTTGCATTCATTCTTTGACTTGTCATGTCATGCAGAGAGCTCCGCTATTTCTGACAGTTCTCTGACAGTTCCTTCACATTTTACAGCGGTTGAAAATTGTATCTATTTGTTTCCATTTAGGATACAGATGTTTTTATTCGGAAACAAATAGATACAATGTTTCAACTTGTTTCAATGTTTCTTCTTCATCCTCTTCTTCTTCTTCTTCTTCTTCTTCATCCTCATCTTCTTCTTCTTATTCTTCTTCTTCTTCATCTTCTTCTTTCTTCTTCTTCTTCTTCTTCATTCATCTATCTTCTTCTTCATCATCTTCTTCTTCATCATCTTCTTCTTCTTCATCATCTTCTTCTTCATCATCTTCTTCTTCTTCATCTTCTTCTTCTTCTTCATCCTCACTTTCAGGTCTCCTCACACTGCTGGTGGTTTCCATTTTTGTCATAGGTGCTGTATGGCCTCCCATTGCTGCTGCCTCCACCGCCACACTGTGGCTCCACACTCTGGTTTTGGCCCCGTGACTGCCAAATGAGTGAAGTGTGCGGTGATTCTAAGATCGATGGCACTCATCTGCATGTCATACTGACTGACAGTATTTTTTCTCTTCCCCAGCAGACTCCAAGGGCATTTAAATTAAAGGTACAGTGTTCTGCACTAATATAAAGGCTCTCTGAAGCCTAGAAACCCTTTTATAAGTTAAATTCGCAGCGAATAAATTCGCATCGAATCGAATTTATTCCGCAAATTCGGCGAATCAGCTGAATCGAATTTTTGAATAATTCGCTCATCTCTAATAATAAAATATGAAAACTTCCAAAGGTGTGAATGGTTTTTATTAGCACTGTATATAGAGAAAACAATCTCACTTGCTACTGGCACTCAAAATATTTATGTTCAGTTCAGTGTTAGGTTTCTATGTGATGCTGTGCATGCGATGAATGTTATAAGTCTGTAACAATTTTTAATGTGCTGCAATTTCTTTATGAGGTACATAGTGCATTTGGAACTAAAGTCATTAAAGAGAAAAATAATTTAACAAATAAAATATCTACTTTAGAGCTAATTTTACAATAATCCCTAATATAGTTTGATTCAGAGTTAATAAAATG